CCCCCCCGCAGTTCCTGGGGAACAGAGGCTCCCGCTCCAATTCTTCTATCAAGTCCCTAATTGGACCAAGCTGCAGCAGGTCTCCCGTCCACCACACCCCCTAATTGCCAGCCAGCATTGTGCCAATTTAAATGCTTGTGCCCCCAGCAGCGCCGCCATCCCAGAGTGCAGAATCAGGCTTGGTGGCGGCAGCCTGGAAGGAGCGCTGGCGGAAAGCCCCCAGAAAGGGCCCTCAGACCTCCCCGGGGAGTACCTCAACAGATCTGGGCTTACGAGCAGAGCTAGACTGGAGGCTGAACAGTGCCAGCCATAGGCCAGCCATTGTTGGAGCCAAGGCAGCCAGCTGCTGCCCACCACCCACCCCAGCTGAAGCCAAGCAGGGACTTTCTGGGTGGGGAGGGTGAAGCAGCTGGAAGCACGTCCCAGGGAACTTCTGGGAGTTTCCTGCTGTTTGAGGTTGTGGGGAGTGGGGCGGGGTGGAGGAGGAGGGGTGCCAGCATGTAAATAGGGAAAACCCCACACTGAGCCCTGCCCTGCATGCCATGCATGCCAAGGCCTCTCCTGCTGTTACCCATCCTCTAGGGGCTAGTGCATGGTGCACCCACATCTTGATCACCTCCCATGTAGACACTCCCAGGTTTGTCAGCATCTGCCTAGGCAGTTGATAAACAGAACTCAGTTAATAAATAGAACTCAGCTTGGCTAAGACACTCCTAATCCTTTTGAGCTCCTGCCAGATCATATCCACCGTCTCTCCCTCCCTCCACTTTTCCTCTGCCAGCTCCGCCCCCTCAGCTATGGGGACAGGAAACTCCAGCAGCCTCAGGAGAATCGTATCTGGTGCAGCACTTTCAGGAAGGGCTGGAGGACAGGGTGGGTCTCAGAAGATCCTTCAAATATAGATCCATGATCCTAGCAGTAGGCGGTGGCATTGGGCCCTGCCCATTCTGGACACAGGAGGAGACAGAGGCCCTGACAGATGTGAGGGGATAGTTGGAAAGTCCAGGGCCCTTCGTTTGCAGCTCTCAGGGGTTGGCGGGTAAAGGGATGACTTTGTCCCTCACAGCTCAGTGTGACTGCCTCCCACCCAGGGCCTGAGGCCCAGCCAGCATCAATGGAGGACAAGAAAAAGAAAAGGAGTCCCAAGCCCTGCCTAACCCAGCCTGCTGCAGCCCCAGGAACACTCCGCAGGGTCCCTGTGCCCACCAGCCACAGTGGCTCCTTGGCCCTGGGCCTCCCTCATCTGCCGTCCCCTAAACAGAGGGCCAAGTTCAAGAGGTGGGTACTGAAGGAAAGCAGGGCAAGGAGGGAGGGACCCTAACTCTGGGCTGAGCCCTATGGGCAGGAAGGTAAAGGGGGCCTTATCTTTAATTGATGCTTTCCCTGGGGTTGCTGCTGAGAATCCAAATGTTCAGACCTAGTCCCTACCCTCAAGTGGGTGGGGAAGAGGCCAGGTAGGTCACAGTGTGATGATGCACCTCAGTGCAGGGAGTGAGCAGCACTGCCTGCCAGGAAGCGAATCAAAGAAAGCTGGTGGGTACACTGGACAGGGAAAATGTTCTAAGGGGCTTGCCTAGCATAAGTATGAAGAAAAATACTTCCTGGAAGGTTCTGGGTACCACAGGTAGTTTGGTGGCCCTGGAGTGTCATGGGGGAGGAAATGGTGTACAATTTGAATTATTTGCTTAATTTTTAAAATTAAATTTATTGGGGTGACATTGTTTAATAAGATCATGTAGGTTTCAAGTGTACATTTCTATGATACATGATCTGTATATTGCATTGTGTGCCCACCGCCCAAAGTCAAATCATCTTCCATCACCATATATTTGGCCCCTTTTACCCTCTCCTACCTACACCCCACCCCCTTTCCTCTGGTAACCACCATACTGTTGTCTGTGTCTATGAGTTTCAGTTTTATATCCCACATATGAGTGAAATCATATGGTTCTTAGTTTTTTCTGGCTGACTTATTTCACTTAATATAATATTCTCAAGGTTCATCCATGGCTTATTTTTTTTTTATTGGGAATCTGCATCCTACCCTATAACATGTCCATGTGTGTTCTCCAACTGCTGTGTTTCCCTATGGCTTTGACACCCTTTGCCTCAGGGGCATGTTTAGGGACAGGCACAGTGGGTGTAGCTGAAGTTCAGGACTGGGGCAGGAATAGGAAGAAATGCAATTGGAGAATGGGTTTGGGGGTGGGGGCAGGGCTGGGAAGGTCTGTAAGTGTCATCCTGAAGGCAATGGAAAATTCAGTTTTTAAAGGTCCTGGCCAGGTAGCTCAGTTGGCTAGAGTGTTGTCCTGATACACCAAGGTTGCAGTTGAATCCCCAGTCAGGGCACATACAAGTATCAACCAATGATGCATAAATAGGTGGAACAACAAATCAATGTTTCTCTCCTTTCCTCCCTCTCTCTAAAAATAAATAAATAACTTTTTTTTAAAGTTTTTAAATAGAAGAAGGGCAGAAAGGTATTTTGGGGAAAGGTAAGATGGCTCTCATGGCAATAAAGGAGTAACTGTCCCCAAATTCACTGAGGACCAGTGAGGACAAGTGATTCACTCAAGGTCACAGGAGGAATGAGTGGGGGCTCAGACAAGAACCCAGGAGCCTCCTTTAAGGCATAGCTCTGGCTGTATCATTGGCAGAAAAATATTTACTTTGACTTCTTACCCTCACCCCTCCTCACCCGTTCCCTTCCCTTTACCAATCCTGGTGCCCAGCTCAGGGTCAGAAGAACAAACATCCATTTATGTTGGTAAGTGGATAGGAAGATTAATTAGTACATAGACAGATGGCACAAAAGACCTGGGGTATCTGGCTGCCCCCACCCTGTGACCTTGGTCATGTCCACCTAGGGTAGGCAAGGAGAAATGCCGCCCGGTGCTGGCTGGAGGTGGGAGTGGCTCTGCAAGCACCCCCCTGCAGCACTCGTTCCTGACTGAGGTGACTGATGTTTATGAGATGGAGGGGGGACTGCTAAACTTGCTCAATGATTTCCACTCAGGCCGGCTGCAGGCCTTCGGTGAGTCCTGGGAGCTGGGTTTAGAGGGTATGTGGGTGGGGCTGGAGGGCCTGGTCTCTGGTGGGGCTGGAGTCCCAAAGTCGCTCCCAGGGCTCAGACTGGGGCTGTCCAGGGAAGGAATGCTCCTTCGAGCAGTTGGAGCATGTGCGGGAGATGCAGGAGAAGCTGGCCCGGCTGCACTTCAGCCTGGACGTGTGTGGGGAGGAGGAGGAGGAAGAGGAGGAGGAGGAGGAAGACGGGGTCGCTGAGGGGCTGCCTGAGGAGCAGAAGAAGACCACAGCTGACCGCAACCTGGACCAGCTGCTTAGCAATGTGAGTCAGGGCTGGGTGCTTTGATTCCTGGGGGCATGAGGGCGTGGGGGAGGTACATGTTCCAAGGCCATTACTGGCCCCTGGGTGAAAAGCTGGGAGTGCATGAAGCTAAGAGCTCTGGGCTCCTCAATCCCCACTAAAAGATGGCACCCAGAATATCTGGGGTTTGGCTTGGTGCCTCTCCTAACAGGAACTTCTCTTTCTCTCTTGACAGCTGGAAGATCTTAGTAATTCTATGTATCCTTTCCAGGGGACCTGTGTATGTGTGTATGAGCCTCCCAGAGATATCAGTTTCCTCTTCCCTACCACCGTCCAGGAGTATTTACAGATAGCCAACATCCCCACACTCTGATGTCCCACTAAGTCAGAATTAGGCGCGTACTGACCCCACCCAGGAAAAGGAGTACAGGAAGAATTTCCCAAATATTAAGAGGAAGGTAGTTGCAGGGAATATATTTTACTTACTTCTCAAAATCTTTCCAAGTACTTTAGCTGACACCAATCCATGGCAAAGCTTGTCTAATGTCTTCCTACCCTTTCAGCACTCAACAGTTATTTTCACTGATTTAGATGATCCCCACCTTGTCCTGGTCCGAAATAGTGCCGGCGCACACACCTGTATGATCTAGATTAAAAAGAATGGAGTGAGCCACCTAGCGAGAAGGGCAGGTGAGGACTGCAACCCCAGAGTCCCTTGTGTAGCTCCTTTCGCAGTTGGGGAAACAGCCTTTCCCCGATGGGAAGAAAGGGCTGGAAAGAATGGAGTCCAAAGTATCCAGTCCTTGACTGACACAGACAGAAGTTGCACCTGGCCGAGAATGCGGAGCCTGAGGAGCAGGCAGCTGTGTAGGTGTAGGACCCAGACTGCCCGCCCTCGTTTCCTTCAAACTGTGACTTTTTACGGACTCGATTGCTTATTCTGCGGCCCCCCAGGTGCTATGGGGAGGGGGGCATTACATGGAATTAAACCAGAAAGAAAGAAAGCGGCTCCGTGTCCTCCCTCCCCTCGCTGCGTCTTTACTCTGCTAGGGCGCCGGCCCCGGTCCGGGCAGACACACCCCTGCACAACACACTTCTGGTTTGGAAGGTCCAGCCGGTGGAGCCTCAAATCCCCCAAGCGGCTAGTGGGTGAAGGCCCACGCCAGGGGCCTCCGGCTCCGGGTGGTGCGCACGGTTGCCGTGGAGACGGCGGGGC